ATCATAGTTTGCTGAACAAGCCATGATAGTTTACAAGCCACAACAGAATCTGGGTTCCTGCTCACATTAAGCTAATATCAAACAAACCACATAAGATTTAGTACCACTTATCAAACTGTTGTTTGTGATGGTTCTGCCCACTTAATGTCTTTAACTACAGTTAACCTGTGGTTTTCATGTAGTTTTTCATGTAGTTTTCACATCCATGTTTTCCACAGTTTATAGTTTCCAAATCGTGGAAAGTACCTGTCTCACTTCTTTGCTGGTCACACGTCTCCCCAGGCGTGGTGTCCACTACACTTTGATAAAGATTTGGATAAACCAAAACAGGTTTGCTTTTTTAAACGCTAGCATGAAGTGTCTGGTGAATATGTGTTGAACTGCTTTTGGTTTCGGTATCTGATAACTCACTCCGTGCATCAAGGCGGCCCTCCTTAAATGGTGGAATAACGGGGCTGCAAAGGTGGTTCTGTGGACTCGACGCCCAGGGAGAGGTGTGCAAAGAAAGTGCGCACCATCCTCTGAGAGCGTAGGAATGAGAAGCGGTGAGAGCAGTTCGGAAGGAGGTTTAGCAGAAGCACCAAATGAGAGCCTGGATTTGGGGCGTGGGCAGAAGTGGACACTAGGAAAAGTCTCCCCATCGTCCAGGGATTTGTAGGGGAAGTTTTCAGTTACTGCAGAGGCTGATGATGATAAGAATTGTAGTCCAACACATCTGGAAGCTTCCTACTATAAACATCAAACATGATTAGCCCGTGACTTAAAAGGCTCTTTCCCACCGAAGATGATGGTGATCCTCTTTTCTTGGGTGGCATATCTGCTCGTGCTGGTTGTTAGCCCCTTTCTTCCTGGTGCTTTTGAAGAATTCCTTGAAGACTCCAGTTTGTCGCTTGGCTTCCCCTCGATGCCTTTCTCTCCAGTGGCGTCCATGCCCCCTGACGCCCACAGAGAGGCCAGTGACAATTTGGTGCCTCTTTGTGTGTGACTTGGTTTGCGCAGGAGTGTGTGTGCGGAGTGGGGGGAGGCCCGTGGAACCCAACACCTCTGGCCGGCTCACAGATGGGGCCGTTCCACCCTGTTCTGCTGGTTTGCATGAAGAGGAGGGAGGGGTGTGGGGCAGGGTTGGCTGATGACCAATGAGGTTTTTAAGCCACACTTCATCAAATAAGGAAGCGGAGGGCAGGCCAGCCGCAGGAGGGCGGCTCTGGAGCGGGGAGAGGAGCAAAGGGCAATCCTGGAGGGGGTGCCGTGGATTCAGAGCAGGACGGCCAGCTGGCCAGGCGGTGGATTTGCGGTCTCCTCAACCCGTTGGGCCATGGTGGCAGCTCCTTCCAGCTGAAAGGGCAAATGAATACCGAGAAGTACCGGAAGTTCCTGGATGGGCTCAACAACCTGAAAGGTATGCCAGCCTTGCCCTGAGTGCTGAGAGTGGCAAGGAGCTGAGCCAGCTCTGCCACCAGGCTTGGAACGTCTCTTTGGGATGAGAGCGAATGCTGCTGCTCTGCAGCAGAGAGGGCATGTGAAGGGTTGGTGGTCATCCCTGTGTGAAAAGCAGTCAGATGGGAAGCTTTGCCGGTAGGTGGTGGTCCACACATTCCACTGAAGAGTTTCAGGGCTCTGGACCCGTGGCGAGACTGGGAGGGAGGCCTTTCCATCCTTCCCTGCTCTTCCCTGAAAAGGCAGCTGGGTTGGAAGAGAGGGTCCCCTGCAATCACAGCAGCCTCAAAGCTTTCCTGGTGAGGAACTGAGTGCCATCCTGCCCTGTTCCAAGCAACCCTGGTTTGTCATAAAAGTTGGTATCACAGAAGCCTTTCCAGACCGTGTCACCTGTCCATCAATCCACCACATCTTGAATAGGCACCAGTCAGAGTTCACACCCAAGACTTGTAGGGGAAGACCCCTGTAGGACCCCTTGCTGTATGGGAGGAAGAACTGTCTACTTTCTGTAAGGAAAAAGGCTCTTAAAATGAGCAGGGAGCTGGGGGAAGTCTGGAGAACAAAAGAAGTCCTATTGTGCCGAGCCCTTGTGGAGTGTCCCTACTTCCCGTTTTTGGGAGGGGCTTGTAAAGCTCTTGGGTAGGGATGAGGCATTCTAGATGGCAAGGAGCAGGTGGTTCGGTTAAACCCGATCCGTTGCATCCAAGTCATGACAGACTGAGATATTGCCTTCTGCTCTGGCAAACCATTCAACTCCCAGCCCCATTTTTTCCATCACCTTCCCCCAAAGATCAGGAATGGGAAGAAATATGTCAGGGGGCCTTGGATCAAGTTCTCCCTGGCCTCTTGCAGCAGATGGGGAGCTCAGTTCCTCACAAACTGCCAATTTTGGTGGGGGTGATGTGGTGGCTGCTGTGGGAATCCCTTGGCTATGTGCTCAGTTGTGGCCTTGCTGTGTTCCAAAGATTTGGTGAGGCAGTGGTCTGTGAAAGTTGAGGAAAGTTAAGCGCGACTGCAATTGTAGTACTTGGAAGTTCTGATTTAGCAAAGGAGATGCTTTGTGGAAAGAAGGGAGGCATTTCATAAGTATTCATCATATGTTGTGGGAAATGGGTTTGGTGTTTCTGAATATGAGCCCAGGCATTCTGGGTTAGGTCTGCTTCATCCTCAACTGCCACAGGGGAGATTTTGGCTGGATCTCTCCTAGTCAGAGACCAGGCGTCGATTCATCAAGATTCTCAGCCCTACGTCCTTTGTTCTTCCATTTTCTGCTGATGTAAATGTAATGGCCCTGCCTCTCATGCCAACTTCATTGAAGAAGACTAAGCTGGCGCGTGTAAGGTTGCTACTTTGCGCAGAATCTAAAGCTGATGCAGTATCATGGCGGATTGAGTTCCGTCGATGGCTTTGTGTGTGTACTGAGGGAACTCCTTCCTTCATATGACTCTTAACATACTTCAGAATTGACTTGCCCTGAGTCAAATGGGATCCAGCTCAGATTAAATTCTGAGTGTCTTTTTTGTTTTAGTGTGTATCAGCTGATAGCAAGGTTCTGGTGAACTTGATTTAGTTTAGCACAGTGCCAAGAGCTGTCATTTGCTTGTCCAACTTCCTCTTTCATTTCTTCCTATCCTCCTGATTGCTTGACTTAATTCCAGAGAAAAAGTCACATGTTTTCATTCTTGTGATGGATTCTTATCTGCCGGCTATTCAGACTCCTATATTGAGGTGAAATGCTATAGTTAAAAGGAAGAGGCTTGGAGAGAGAGAAGGAGATTGGGCTTCATCCATCATAAATATCTTTTTCTGTCTGCAGGCAGTGTCTGCAGCTGGTGTTCAGAGCCTTGAGCCTCAGCCTACCTCCCATGCAGCTGAGGTAATCAAGCAACTGCGTGGAATTAAGGGCATGAGGCTTGCAGGCATTCTTGGACCCCCACCCCAATCCTAGCCATGGGTCAGGATTAGGACCATGGACTGCCAGACAGCTGACTGCTTTACTTCAACGTTGGTGCCTTTTAGAAATTAAAAGTGCTAACTCTGCCTTCTCTTCTGTCCTCACTGATCTTCTTTCCTGAAGAGATCAAAGTTGTTGCTGAGCGTTAGGATTTTTTTCTTAACTTGGCTCCACTGGAGTTGCCTTCCATTTCTATTCCTGCCCTTTTGAAATCCTCCTTGGTGCTTGCTGAGACTTAGGTCCTTACGGGACCTCTTGTGGATTTCTAGTGATGTTTTTGGAGGTGCTTTTGGGCATTCTGCATCTTCACCCTGTAGAAGCTCATAAAGTCTTCTCCGAATGAGCTGTGGGGAGAACCCCAAGTGTATGGAGTAAAGGAATGTGAAGGGGCCTTTGTCAGAGTCAGCACATCTCTGAGGAAGCTGGATATTTCTGGGACACTTGTTGATGTATTTCTTTGTGGCTCCTTTGTGAGACCTCCGCTCCCTGTGGTCCTTCTGCTGTCATTGGGCTGAAATAGACAGACCCTCCCCCACCCTCTTCTATTTAGGCCAAAATTGCTGGCAAAATCAAAAGGCCTGTAAAGAAAGACTCTTCTCGGAAGCTGTTGACCTGGAACTTCCAACTCCAGGGAAGCAGTGAAGATTGCCTAAATTCAGCAACGGATTGGATGAGACGGAATAAGCTAAAATTAAATCAGACAGAGTGGAAGAAATTTGATTTGAGGACTGCAGTTCAATCTGTTTTGAATAGGATTGCATTTTTGCTGGAAAAGCCAGGCACGTCTTAATGACATGCTGCCTTAACTACTGTGTGTTCTACAAGAGTGAAAAGTGTCCTGAAGTTACCCCTGGTGCAAAGTGTAGCAGCTAAGTTGGTAGTTAATGCAAGGTCTGGGAAACCTGTCCTGAAAGATCTGCACTGGTTCCTGGTTCCTTACCAGACGCAATTTAAGGCGCTGGCCTTGATCTTCAAGGCTTAGGATCCTGTTCTGAATCCACCTGAGTGTTGAGAACTGCAGGAGAGGCCCTTTTGAAATCACTCCTACTGACCAAGGCCTCCCTTTCTGGCAGGTTGGAGTGGAGGGCCCCTCCTGTGTTGCTTCCAGAGCCTGGTATTCCTTCCCTTTGGGAGAGGCATTTCATTTTCAGCTCTCAACATTAATAAAGCGGATCTCTTTCACCAGGCTTTTAATGGATGATTTGCAATGCCAGTGTTATTGTCAATGTAAATGTGAGCTTTGATGTTCCTATGTTGTTTTTGTTTTTAAATTTCGCAGCTCACCTCAAGTTCTTACCAGAGAACAAGGTGGGGTATAAATCAAGTAATGATTGACTTTGCAGGCTCAGTTGCAAGGCCTTGCTAGAAGAACACAGGTGGCTTTCCATTGAAATAGAGCAAAGAAGAAGTGAGCTTGGGCAGAATAGAGCCTCTGGGGTTCAGACTGCAGTCCCATCTGAACAGGCCCATCCCTTAATCCAAACTGCTTAAGGGCTAGTGGTGGTTATTCAGAGGCCAGGAAACATACGTTCTACAAGTGGCTATATGTTATCCCTCATAATATGAGCCAAAGGCATTTAATGCCATCACCCTGGTCTGATATTTTCAGGTGAAGATCAGAGCTAAATTTTGCTCAAAGCTCATGCCAGTCAGACACCCACCAACGCAAGCCATGATTGCCTCTGACTTCAAAGAGGAAGCATCCAAATCATGCTCAGAGAAGGATCCTCAGAAGTTTCAGGCTGAAGCCGCCGCATTCAAAACGTGTGAAGAACCACAGCTCACATTCAGCAACTGGCTCCCCCCTAGAAAGGAGAAGAAACGGGTTTCCATCCCCCCACCCCTTTGAAACGATGCGACTTAACCACCTTTCTGCTGAACTGCCAGATTTTCAACATCCACGAAACAAGACATTTGATCATTCTCAGCAGCCAGTTTTTCTTTATTTGGGAAAAGGTGGCACAGAGCAGCAAGAGGTACCCCATCCTCTACCAGGCTTAGGGACCCCCAGGGGTTGGCACTGGCACCATCGCAAGCATGAGCCAGAAGAAGTTGAAGCACCTGAGAGAGCAGGTGCTTCACGCCAGAGACCAACCAAGGTCCCAGGCAAGTTTTAGTCTAAGTCAGCTGGACAGCGACAGGAGTTGGGGATGCTTGTCTTCTGCAGTTTCGTTACTTGCAAAAACAGAGGGACCCATTTCCAAAGTTTTTCTTTTTAGAAAGACAAAACAACCACTCTGTGGTGGGGCGGGGTGAGTTTGGGTGGGTACTTGGAAGGGTGTT